TGTTCCAAATTCTGGCAATCGGTAATCTTCCAACATATAAAAAAATCCTAGTTGCTCTGAAGAGGCTAAACTACTTTCAGTCATTCATAACACTGTGTGAATCAGCTTAATCAGACTGGTTTTTTCCTAACAGTATTCATATTTTTTTCCCAAGGATCACTGTCCTGTGCTGCTCGTTGTCCAATTTCTGCAAACATTTGTCTTCTGTGTTTTATCTTTTTAGCTGTTTAAGACAGGAAGGTAATCCTTTCCCTGTTGCTCCATCTTGGCCAGAAATAGAGTTCCACCTGTTTCTTTTCAATGTGAATATTCTTATCTGGACTTTAATTAAAATTGTAATCTTTTGAGGGTGTCTGGGTGGCTCAGTCACTTGAACATCTGACTCTCAATTTACGCTCAGGTCCTAGACTGAGCACCACGTTGGGCTCTGGGCTGACAGCAAGACCCTGCTTGGGATTCTCTCTCTCAAAAATAAACAAATAAACATTAGAAAAAGAGAATCTTTTTAAATGTTAGACATGGTTTCTAGTAAATGTAAAGTAATATTGTAAAAAAGTGCAACACATAGAAAGAATTCCTAAACTAGAAGTCTAGAACACTAGATTATAGACCTATTTGTCTTTCAGATTTTTGCATGACTGCCTTTCTCTGGACCTGAGGACATTTGAAAAGAAAAAACTTGCGGGCCAAGTAATTTCTTTGGTGCCACACAGCTTAATAATTTCATGGTTCTATAAACTCAAAAATGTTCAAGGCTTTAACCTGTTTTCAGAAGCTAGAAAGAGGCTGTAGAAGTGGTACTAGATTGAGGAGGGCAGAGACAGCCACAGTCCAAAGTGCATGAAGAAGGCGTAGTGATGATAAAGAACCAGGCATATTCAGGAATCAGAGGCCCAAGGAATAGTGGGGAAAAGGTAGTGGTTGAGGAGATGCTGAGGGGAAGTATGACACAGGATTGAAAATAGGAGGATGAATTGAAAGTCTGCAGATGAAACAGTGCACTAGCTTTCGCAACTTCAGCAGTGCCAACCAGGGACAAGTACAACTGCATATGACAGCAGAGAGCTGGAAACTCCTTTATTATAAATTATAGCAGAGAGATCAAATATTTACACCCCGCAATTTTACAGCTCTTTGATATATTAAAATAGTAATAATAATAGTAACAACAATAATACGATTCCCTTTTGTTGAAACCCACAGAAACAAGTATTTGTGGGAGTAAAACAATAAATAAAATGCTCATGAAAATCTAGATTGAACTCTTAAAGACTACAAAATGCCATATCCATTTAGAGTATGATCTTACGGAGGGATTATTCCCAGGTCCAGAGGAATCTTATTAGTGATCTGTTTTGAACCTCAGATAAAGATACCTGGATTGAAATTTTTTGCCTGAAGTCACAAAGCTAATTAGTGCTCAATATAGTATTAGAACCCAGGTAACTGGACTTTTGAGCAACACCATCTCTCGATTACCCCAAATGCCAGTAGGGTGAGCTTTGATTTAGTCAGATTTTTCATCAGAATCTTCTTTTTATGTGTCATGCTTTTGAACACATTTTTAGAGACAGAGGTTTGCTCTGTGACAATAAGATGCAGTAAAACCTGCTTGCTGACTTTTTGGCTAATTCGGTAACTTTCTCCTCATTGTTAGGGTTATTTAACTAAAGTGGCTGATCAAAGTATAATAGAACATGAGGCTCACTCATGAATGTGGCTTTTTTCACATTCATTAAAAGGGCTGAGTTCATGAATAAAAAATACAAGCAAAGAAGAGGGTAGGAAAATGTGGCTCGACATTAAACCAGGGATTCAACATTAAACCAACATAAACCAAGGGCTGAGAGACAAATTCATGATCTTGATTGTTTTCTTTTAAGAATATTAAATGATTCATAAAACGAGAGTGATATTTTTGGCACTCAAGGAACCCTTTACATGTCATTTTGTAGAACAGTGTCATTACTGGCTAGCCAGAGTATTCATCTATTTCTATACTCAGGATTTGCATCCTATTTCTCTGATATAATTTACATTTGACTTCCATAAGAATGTGCATTAAAATCATGTAACTGATATTATCAGTGAAGTGGTTAACCATGTTGGCATTTGAATGGCTATAATTACATTTCTAAGTTAACAGTACTCCTAAATTGCACAAGAAAAGCTTTGTTTCCCTGTTACTATTCCACACTTCGGTCTATAATCTCCAAAAGGCAGGATGAATTAGCTTTTCATTAAAAAGATAAATTTCATGATTGTAGACATAATAGTTATAGTAGAAAACTAAACTATATTCTGGAGAAATCAGCAGAAATTCATAGGCCTTAATCCTTCTAGAGCCAACCAATTTCTGTTGCTTCAGGCTTGAATAATTTTATTGAATTGCAATAAATTTGAATTCCTTCTAAATTCCTAAATTTGGGGAGAGAATCTATTCTTATCTCACTATTGGAAAGGAAAGGAAAGATGAAATTATTCCAACCATATCTAAGAGTATTAGAATGGTATGAAAGTTCCTATATTTGCTGTGTTCCCTCTGAAAGGTACAAAGATGAGAGATGATTGCTGGTGAATCACTGTTCTATTTTATCTAGAGACCTGAGTGCTCTCACTCTCTATTCCCTTAGGGGGTCATGTTCCTCTGCTTAAAAGAATATTGCCTGCTCTGTGAGCTAATGATTTGTTTGGAGGATGTAAGTCTCAGAGGTGAAGAAAACTGCACAGCTTTTATAATATATCTTTCAAATCTTTGATCTACTTTTTTTCTGCATACATGGGACCCCTCAATAGCAAGATTAAAGATGCCTCTTCAGAGGAGAAAGGCAAAATTTGAAAACCTAAATGCTGCTCAGATTTCCAAATAATATTTCTGTATTGCCTCATTTTGTCAACATCACACTTGGTGTTGTCCTGCCTTCATGTGATAACCACACGGTAATCAAAATACAGCACTGGATCGTAGTTGCTTTGTTGTTCTTGTTTTTCCAAGGAGGCATGGAACTATGAATCCTATTTTAAAAAGTGATCAGTGCAAATATGTCCTCATGATGAGGACATACATACTCCCTTTAATTCTATTTAATTTGACAAAATATTTAGTTGGTACCTAGCAGATGTTAGGCATTGTGCCTTCTTTTGTAGGAGATACCAAGAATCAGCATCTGTTTTCAAGACACTCCTACTCTCACTGGGCAGATAAGGCAATTACAGAAATGGCCACGATAGGATGCAGAATATGACAGATGAAAAGCGCTTGGAGAGAAATGAATGGCATTCAATGTGGGAACAGAGACAACAGTCCAGTAAGAGGGGGATCAGGGAAGATTTCGACATTTGAGAAGGGCCTTGCAAGACCAGTGAGATTTCCCTGGATGGGGCTAGAGTTGGAAGTGAGGTGGTGATAATAATGTATGTTACGTGTATCTGGGGGACGTGGGGGTGGTCGGGGGAAGAGAGGCTGTCAAAACACGTTGAGAGGCTTGTACTTAATTTGTAGGCAGTAGGGATCCAATGAAGGTTTTGAAGCAGAGCAAAGGTAGAATAATAAGGAGCTGTGGTTTAAGAAACATTTTTGAAGCACTGAGAAAGCAGATTTTAGTATTTTGAACTAAAATATGTCTATGTAAACAAGCAAGTATGTTTGATAATGTCTGACTGGTCTTATTTCCAAATAGAACAACTATCACTAAAAATGTTAAGTATGCCAGTAGTAGAAGAATTAACTTCTCATTTATATTTGAAACTGAAAGATTCTTCTTCACTTTTATAATGACATAGCTCATCCATGCATAGATTTCTAATTTCAGTCAAATGAATCAGGAAGTGGGTGTACTTTTATAGCATTTCAGAGAATTTAATCTTCTCCATCATACAAATAACTGAATTTTTACTCTCTGAATAATATTTTGAAATGTATTTTTTTTTTTGCTTCCTAAGCTCTTTGGAACATCCTTACCAAAAATGAGGATAAAATTTAAAAAGAATAGAAAAATAAATAGCTTTATAGGGTAAGAAAAAACAAAACAAAAGAGATCTTTGAAAAGCTCCAAAAGACTGCAGCAAAAAGACACATGGCTCTGATCAGAGAAGCAAGTTTTGAGGAGTATTTTTTTTCCTAATTATTATCGTGATGGTTAGAGCTTATCCAAGTAAATATGAAAAAGTGAGTAGCCCAACTTGTTCTCTACCAAACCTTTTATCAGAAGAAGTAATCTAATAGATAGACGGATCATATTTCCTCTGCTTTATCTCCTGGGTGGACAAAATGAAGGAGTAAAGGGAAGATAATTCAAAACTACAGAACAAGCTCACAAATATATGACAACTCAACACTCTGAAGTGAGCAAAATATTATCGAAAAGTGGTTAGTTAATAGTTAACTGTAAATATTTGTTGGGCATTTGAGCACATTGAAATTCAACAAGCAATCTGTTTTTTAAGACTTCATCTTGTACATATATTTGGAATGAGACCTTTACTTATTTCATAACAAAAGGACAGTGTTAAGTGGTATTCTACTAAGATAAAAGAAGCAATAAAATTCCTTTGTGCCCAATTTACTGTTATTTCCTATTTATTCTATGGAGAAAATAAATACCAAAGAGCTTATTGTTTCATCTAAATGACTTAAGGGGAAAGAAAAGAGTTCCAAGCAGGAGAGGCTTCTTTACATAACACAATTTTGTCTACAATTCCATTTGAGTTATCTCCAAACATCTCCAAAATATTTTCCTTTAAATAGTTTGATTTACGAACAAGTATGTAACCTAAAGGTCTGTCATAGGCAGTACTGTTAAAAATTTTTAAAAATCCTATTCTGAAGTTCTTAACTGGGGACTAGAGCTGAGTCAAGCTGACATAAAAAGTGATCCTCACATCCCCTCTAATATTCATGTAGTAAAGAATAATTAAAATTACCAATAAAATCAAAATCACCAATGGAGCCATCAAGAATGACACAAAAACTAAAGTGTTTTCAAAAAGCCAAGTCTTACCGATATTCTGATGAGGTGCAACGCTGCTTCTATTCTCCTTCCACGACAGCAGGTAGTCAAGGCTGGTGAGATCTTCAGACTCGATATAATTGTTAATGGTCAGCATTATTTCATGAGCTTTTGCTATTCCATAATGAACTTTTGTTTCATCCACATTATGCATGTTCATTAGCTTTGCTGTTGTGTCAAAAGCTTGTTGAAAGTATTCAGAAGCTTTATTGTAGTATCCCTAAAAATGTAAGAGAAATCATTTTTTTCCCTTAATTTTTATTCCATCATTCCACACGTCTGCTCACCTTGGCATATACCACACTGGTCTTTCCACATATGGCATTCATCTTCCAGAGGGAAAGGGCTAGTAGGGTCTCTATTAGAATAAGGTTCTTTTATTTGTTTGTTTGTTTGTTTAGAATAAGGTTCTTTTAAAAAGTTGTGATTATTCACCATACAACATCTTGAAGTTAATACACTAAAAAAATTTTATCTACCAAGTTGAACTATGTGCAACTTAAGTTTTTTTGGATTAAAAATGTTCAAATATTAGTTTTTTCATATGGTTCAACGTAATACAGTGTAGCAAAAAGAAGTTTGAGACTCTTGAATGCTGAGAACAAACTGAGGACTGATGGCGGTTGGGGGGAGTGATAGAGGATGATGGGCATGGAGGAGGGCACTTGTGGGGGTGAGCACTGGGTGTTATATGGAAACCAACTTGACAATAAACTATTAAAAAAACTAATGCAAAATAAATAAATAATAAAAATGGTCAAATATTAGTATTTTCATATGGTTCAACCTAATACACTGTAGCTAAAAGAAGTTTGGGAAAATGTATCTGATTCACATTGATTTGGATGTAAGTTTCTTACTTGTAGCATTGGATTTACTTAATGAAGTATTTTAAACCAGATTTTGTGTTCAGACATAGCAAGAGATCATTTTCAGTCAATCTATTTAATCAATGGCCAGTGAAAATACTGTATCTATCTGCTGACTTGGTTGTTGCTCTTGTTTTCTCCATGTGTTTATGTCATTCTTGACTGTGGACATAGGAGGTATTCAAGATTTCTGAAAGTTATGAACTTGATGGCACTAGCACAACTCATGGTCATTTAACTGTTTATTTCTTTTCTAAGTCATTTCCAACATCTCACTGCAAAAATTCAAGGTGGTGTTTCGTTTTTTTTTTTTTTTTTGTGGGTTTTGGTTGTACTCTCCTATCCTCCTAAAAGCCACTGTCCACAAATAAATAGTATTTATCAAGCTCTTTCAAGGTGTCAGGGCCAGTGCTACGTTCTTCATGTGTATTATGTCACTAACTTTCATAAGTCATCCTATAAGGAAATGTTATTCTTATTCTACAAATAATTAAATTGAGCCCCAGTAAAGAGACTATTTTCTGCCAACCTTGAATCTTCTAAAATGCTTCAAAAAAGAGTTTTCTTCAGTAGAGGATATCATTTTTAGGATTGAGCTGTACTTTTAAGACTCTAGGGAACAAAATTCCCCTTCTTCGTTGACTTCTAACCCTCGTCTTTCCTCTCCCCTTCCCTTTAGCCCTCTCTTCTTTTCTCTTCTCCTTCCTCTCTTCTTTCTTCTATACACATAAACATGCATGCATACTTTTGAGAAGAAGCCCTTACAAGAGGGAATATCTTATTACAAGTTTTAAAATGATATTCTCACAACATTTTATGAAGGAACTGTTATTACAAACACCATAGAAAAACCCTTATTGCATACACCAGTGGAGGCATACTCAACTCCATGTATCTCTGTATAAGCATGACATTCAGACAGCAACCTGAATACAGAAGTTGCTAGCAAGGTGAGGAGGGGGAGAAATAGAGCTTGTGTGACAGTTGTTACCTACATACGCAGTACATATAACATTATGTTATAGACCCACAAGGACAGGTTAGTGAATTCTACTCAAATGGTTGATTCCAATTAAATTTGCTAGTTTAAACACAGTCCCTCTGTATTTTATCAATAGTAATTTTTGTTTGTTGAAGTGAACAATTCTTTCTTTTATTTCAAAGTGTATAACATAAATTGATAGGAGGATAAGTTTACTTAATTAGAAAAGGTAAAATTGTACCAAAGATATTTGTATGACAAGCAAATTATATGATTGAGAAACAATACAAATATTGAAGATGAAAATAAAACTGGTTAATATTTTGGAATGTTTTGCTAGATATCAAAGATATAGGACAAAAGAGCTGAACATATGTGACTAGACCAAACATTTCTATTTTTAAAAACAGAGAAGTATAAATATCTAATTATTGTTCTAGTTATATTTCTGAGCATTAGGCTCAGAACTTTAGATGAAAGTCTTAGGAAAATTAGGGACCATAAATAAATGGACTTATATTTAAATTTCCAGAATTATCTCATATATTTTTATGTTAGAATGAACTTATTCATTCATCTGGTAACTACTACTTACCAAGCTCCATGCCAGGCAGTGGGGATTCAGCAGTTAACAGAATTTACTTTGCCTAAAACTTATATTAGATTTTTTAACAAGTATTTCCCCCAAAATAGGAGTATTATAATTATTCATAATTATTAATTATCATTATAATTACATAAAATTATTCTTCCCTCAAATTGAGCCTAATATTCAGTCATTAGATACATACACAACTGCCATAAAACTGATATCAACCTAAATTTCTGTAGTTTAAAACACTATTAAGGAAATACGTTAATTCTTTTCCTATGCAACCATTTTTATACATACCATTTTGGAATGAGATTTCACTAATGTGTATTGCATTTCTAGATTTTCAATTCTTAAAGAGTTTAATACCTAAACTTTGTATCTTCTCCAAAGGTTCTATCCAATGTTCTATAGTTCAATTCTGCTATCAGTTAATCCCTATCTAATCATAATATTCAGAAGACTCCAGTATATAATCTTGGCAATATTAAATATGAATTTGAGAATACATAAGTGAATTTATGCACTTCATGAATGGATCTTATTGGGAAAGAGAACTTTGTTTAGTGTTATAACTATCCACTTGATCTTAGCCAAAAGGCCGAGAAGCGATTTTAGTGTCATAACTATCACTGAGAAGTATTTAGTGGACAGTTTCAGGACAGGACCTTGATGACATCACAGACCTTAAAACAAAGCTTGCATTATTGCAATATATAGAATTTTCATGCATCATTCTAATTCTTACTAGATCCTTCTTAGTGCATCTGAAATGCCACTCTATCCAATGAGCAAGCTAAAAAATAAATGAACATTTTCTCAGTACTAAGGAAAAATCAGTTTTTACACATTTTCTCTGCTATTTGAGTTTGGAACTACCATTGTTTTAACTACATGATTATTTTCTGATCTTATTAAGGAATGAGCAATCCTATAAAGAGTCTATTAGTTATTTTCCCGAAAGCATTCTCATTTGACTACTTTATATTAGTTATATGTTTTCATCAAAACATAACATCAGGAAGATGGGATGGGTGGCCCGTATTCCATGATTATATAGTAAAAGGTAAATTAATTAGGATAAATAATCTTTTAAAGATGTGTCAACTATAATTATAATAACACTATCATAACTAGAGAAAACAGTTAATTCTAATATTTTTCCAAATACAGTTTTGTATTATAATTGTGGTCTTATATTTCTTGGAATTGATTATAAAGAATACAATTAGAATGCAGTGCATGAATAATATGAACCCAAAAAGAGATGATGAAGGCAGTATGTAGAAGGCCTTAAAAGAATACTGACAAGTATCAGCAATGTTAGATTTGCTTTTGAAGATTCACTACAGCTTTTTAGAATTATTGTACAAAAGTGAGATAGAAGTTTGGAATCCCTAAAGTGAGACAATCCTATATAATTAGTTACAAATTTATTGATTGATTCAATGAATTCACATCTTTTTGCTCACCAACTTTGTGCCAGGTTCTCTTTTAGGATCTGGAACAAAATAATAAGGCAGATATGGTTCTTATTCTCATTACACTTCTATTCTAGTGAAATTAAAGAACAATAAGAAAATATCATAAATAGGAAAACTATGAGATAAGTCTATGTGGAATATTAAAGCAATGTTAAAGAGTGACCTGGTGGCTGCTTTTTTTCATATGATTTATTTTGGCATGCAGCTCTCAGGACTTCAATGAAAAGAAATGGAGATTTCAGATATTTGGTAAGAGGTAGAAAAATTTTTTTTCAACCAAGCAGCTACTTTTATTGATTGAATTTTTTTACTTCTTTCTCAAATGTCTTCAAAAGCTCCATAGAAATCAGTGGATTAGATTTCATCATTTTATTTTATTAAAAATTTTTTAATGTTTATTTTTGAGAGAGACAAAGCATGAGCAGGGGAGAGGGTAGGTGTAGAGAGAAAGGAAGACACAGAAAATGAAGCAGGCTCTAGGCTCCAAGGTGTCAGTACAGAGCCCGGACACGGGGCTTGAACTCACAAACCCGGAGACCATGACCTGAGCCAGAGTCAGATGCTTAACAGACTGAGCCACCCAGGTGCCCCACTTTGGGGTGATTTCTTATGCAAAAATCTATAATAAGTCTACATTTCAGATGTCTGTTTTGGGTAACACTTATTTAGTTTCAAAAAGTAAGAATTTTTCTTTATTCATATTCTAAACGATGGAGTCACCCACGCACCCCAAGATTTCATAATTTTAGATTAAGAAAATGTGTTTGAGGAATCAAATTAGAAAAATGGTAGCTGTGATTAAACAGTGTTCCATATGAATAACAATAATGCCATCTTAAATTACAAAATACAAGTACCTTTTCAAAGTACTTTCATACAGTTTTGGGTGTGTAACATAATGATTAAGTATTTGTATATATTACTAAATGATCACCAAAATAAATTTAGGTAATATTACCTCACATGGTTACACATTTGAGAACTTTTAAGATCTACTCTTAGCAAATTTCAAATATATAATAACATAGTGTTATTAACTGTAGTTACCATGCTGTACATTACGTCCCCAAGACTTACTCATTTTATAACTGAAAGTTTGTGCCTTCAAACTATCTTCACCTATTTGGCTATTTTTATTGGGTTGCCAAGGGAAGGCCTCTCTGAAGAAATGACATTTAACTGAGATATGATGACAAGACATCAGCAATATGAAGTTCAGATTAGAGGGCATTCCATAGGGCATTCCAGCTAAGGCAGATGTCCTAAGGCAGGAAAGAGCTCTGCATGCTTGAAGGACTTTACTAAGCCCATTGGGCTGTGTTGGAGTGGATGAGGAGAGTGGGAAGAAAGAAAGTCCAAGGTGGGGTATGGGAGTGTACATCTCACAAAGAATATTTCAGATCGGGGTGAGGATTTATATTTATGTTCTAAGAAGAATGGGAAGTAATGGAATAGTGTTTGAAGCAAAGAAATAACATAATTTAATTTACACTTAAAAGGACTACTTGGGCCTCTGTGTGGAGACTGGATGACACAGGGGCGGAGCGGGGAGTGGGCTTGAATTTACTGTCGTAGTGCAGTAGACAGAATAGAGTGTCATAAACTGACAGGATGACAGGAGCAGACACAGAGAACAAGGTGGGTCTGAGATATGTTTTGGTGGGAAAAAGGTCAGGATTTGCTTCTGGATTAGATATAGATAAGAAAGGAGAGAAGAATCAAAGAATATCTAGATTTTTGGCTTGATCAATTAGGCTGATGGATCATGATGCCATTTATTTAGATGCAGAAGCCTGGGAGGAAGGAATCATGTTAAATTTGACATGTCTGTTAGACGTCCAGGTAGAGATGCTAAGTGGCCAGTTAGAGTTACAAGTGTCCCAAAGAGAGATCAGGGATGGAGATACAAATTTGGGAGCCATCAGTATATGGATACTATTTAAGGCCATAGACTTGGATGGGGTCAGATAAGGAGAGCTCATAGACTGAGAAGTCTTCCTAGAAAACACCTGAATCATATTCATCATAGTTGAACATTAAGTTAATAGAGGAATAGAATTTAGAGGAGATATGATGAGTTCAGTTTTTAACAGGTTATATTTGAAGTGATCTAAGTGAAGATATCAAGCAGACAGAAGGATAGGAGTCTGAAGTTTCAGGGAGAGATCCGAGCTTGAGATATTAAGAAGCTAAGTGCTTTTAGGGGCGCCTGGGTGGCTTAGTCGGTTAAGCGTCCGACTTTCGCTTAGGTCATGATCTCCCGGTTCGTGGGTTCGAGCCCCGCGTCGGGCTCTGTGCTGACTGCCAGCTCAGAGCCTGGAGCCTGTTTCAGAGTCTGTGACTCCCTCTCTCTCTGACCCTCCCCTGCTCACGCTGTCTCTTTCTCTCTCTCCTAGAAATAAATTAAAAAAAAAAAAAAAAGAAAGAAGCTAAGTGCTTTTGTGTACCCAGTATGTCCTAGGAACTCACCTAGGTATCATGTATGTATTTTTAATTTCTAATCCTCAAATAGCTTGTCTTTAAGGTATTTTGTTATTGACAATTAAAAGATGAATAAAGAATAACGAATTCATGTGCCCAAGGTCACAGTTAACAAATAGCTGAATGCAGATTCGGGGTCAAGTGGGCAAAAATCAGTGAGGTTCCTCTTTGTCCTGACAGTTTCCTTCATGGAAAAGTGTGTGCTGCAAACATCTTATGAGACTGTTCAGGTATATAGCTGAAATAAAGGCATTTAATGTAATTAGGAAATATCCATAAGCAGCTGAAAAGAGAAACATGAAATAATTCTTCGACATTTCCTCCAGGAATGATATTTTCCTAGTCACTCCTTGTCATTTCCCTAGTTCCCTTTATAGAACTAGAAGGAAATTCAGGATGTCATCAAGGGTATCCTCTTGTTTCAAAAATATGAGAAGGAAAAATACCTATATTTAGTTCTAATAAACCCACTTTGTTATATGTTTTCAAATCATACTTTTGGCAATGATTTAACAATTCAGATTCAGCCTGAGAAGTATTCAGTAGATTCTCTGACTTGCGGAAGTATCTGAGAAGAATCACAGTAATGCATAAAAATTGAGTGCAACATTAACAATTTCAGTAACAAATCAAGTTTTGTTTTGAAGTCTGTCATGTCATTTAACTGTTACAGTAATGTGTACTTAACATCATACTGTTTATCAGTGACCATTTATTACATTAAAGTATAAGTAATCACTCAGGTGTAAGAATCAACTTGTATATTTGAAGGCATGTATATTTGAAGATAGCTTGATACCTGGAATCTTCCAAATTTTAAATTAGAATTGGGATAAACTGGGGATAAACTGGTAAAAAAATTAACTTTTGGTAGTTGACACAGCCTTTGGATATTATTCATGTCTCTCACCTTTAAGATATCAGACTCTTCTTTAAGAATTAATAACCAAAGTATAAAATACATACTGATGAGACACAAACTCTTGGCAAAAAGCTTAAAAATGCAAAATTAAAAATTACCTATGAGAAAGGTTTATTGTTTCGTTTTCCTTATGCTTTTTGCAGTTAGGAAAATATAGGCAGATTCTTTTTTTTTTTTTTTGCAACTCCAGTTCAATTTTTTTTTTTTTTTTTTACAAATAGTTTATTGTCAAATTAGTTTCCACATAACACCCAGTGCTCATCCCCACAAGTGCCCTCCTCCATGCCCATCCCCCCCTCCCCCCCACATCCATCAGTCCTCAGTTTTTGTCAGCATTCAAGAGTCTCTCATGGTTTGCCTCTCTCCCTTTCCCCCACCATTTCCCCCCTTCTTCTTCCGATTGGTCCTCTGTTAAGTTCCTCCTAGTCCTCCTATAGGCAGATTCTTAATATTTGTGCTATTCCAAAACACTGAGTTCTGGGTATTGTTTGGTAGAAGAGTAAAGCAATTTACATTTTTCTGCACTTCTGTTTTGAAGAACAATCCTTTTAAAAAGAAACACTATGTATAATTAGGAATACCAATTCTACTAGTGCAGCATGAGCTCCCATTAGACTTCCAGCCTCACAAGGGTATAAGCCGTGTCTGCTTTTCACCACAGTATCCCAAAAACTAAACAAAAGCACGGACAAGATCCAGGAGAGAGGAGTCACCAGAGTAGCGCAGTGCCACAGAGATGCGGCAGCAGATTGGGGACGCCGCGGAGAGAGACCTGGGGGGACAGCTGGGGAGGTGCAAGGAAAGAGGGGAAACCAAGCGGGGGAGATTGGAGAGAGAGGACCACCGAGTTGAGAACAGACCAGAGAGACAGGGGCAGGAGAGAAGGGCAAGGTGTGTAGGGGAGGAGGAAAGAAGGTAGAGGGTGATAGTCAAGACAAAAGGGGGGTTTAAAGACAGTGAGTAATAGGAGGGAGAGGAGGCAAATGAGGCAGGGCTAGTGAGAGAGAGTGGTGTACAAAGAAATCAGGTCCTTGAAAGCATGTTTCCCATAGCAGAGACTAAAGATAGTAGTTTCATTCATTCAAATTAATTTCAAACTCTATTTTCTTAAAAAAAAAAAAGCTTAAATAATTCTGAAATCATCAAAGTCAAAAGTCAATATGGCAAATAAAAGACTGTACTGGTTTGAATACCACTGCCACCTAGAAACCTGGAGATCTGGGGTCGGTTATTTAACCCTCTGAGTCTCGGAAAAGGGGAATTGTATGATACCACCTAAAGGTGCAGAGAGTAATAATGGCTTACATAGCTGGCACTGGCTTCCCCTGCCAGATGCGATTCTAACTGCTTTACATTTATTAACTCAATACTCACTGCAGCCTTATGAGGTGTGAAACTTGAGGCACCTAGAAGGTAAGTAACTTGTCCTAGGTCACAGATCTTATAAGTGAAAGAACTAGGCTTTTAACCAAACAGTTTGGTCTCAGAATTAGTGCTTTTAATCACTACATAAATAACCCCTCAAAAAAAGATTAAGAAAAGGTGTATAAACATTAAGAATGAAACTACCCTAAAAATGATAGATCCTATTCATTATCAAAACAGCAATTATAACTAGAGGAAAAAAGTCTCTTTTATACTGTTTCTTCAAGAAAAATCTAGGTAATAAAATATAAAGTCATGAGAACATAAATCAAAAGATCAATGCTTTATGACCAATGCATTTCACTAGTAATGACCTCTTGAATAAGATACTTTAATTTTAGACTTTCTCTTGTTTCTCTTTTCTTTCACATAACCAATCTGATGCTAGAATTCTGTATTTCCTTCAGAATTACTCTTGGGATTGTGCTTTCTTCTCCTGAGGGATGTAGGAGGGGCATCACAGCTGGATTAATAAAATGAGAATTTGGAGCAAGGGAGATGAATGCTAGTGTCAGCAGATAAGAGCCAACCATTATAATGATATTCTTTGAACTGAAATGTTTAATTGCTCTTCAAGTCCAAAACCACTTAGAATCTTCACTGGCTGTGAAGATATGAATCACTTTTAGCAGCTTGTGGTGACTGTGCCCAAGATGGCGCTCAGATCTTAGAAGAAGAGGAAATAACTGTCTTGTGCATTAACTAAGCCTTGTAGTCCTGGGGTCATTCTGCATAACATATTATGGGAAGGGGAGAGTCAAATGGGAATAGAATTTTAAAACTCTGCAAATTTCCACCTGTAAGAAAGAAACAGGAACGCCTGGGCAGCTCAGTTGGTTAGGTGTCCAATTTTGGCTCAGGTCATGATCTCCTGGTTGGTGAGTTCAAGCCCCACATTGGGATGTCTACTGTCAGCACAGGGTCCGCTTCAGAGCCTCTGTCCCTCCTCTCTCTCTGCCCCCTCCCTGCTCATGCTCTCTCTCAAATAATAATAATAATAATAATAACAACAGCACTAAAGAAACACATATACTCACTTTTTCATTATAGATGTCCCCAAGCATTGTACTTGCTCTCACGACATCTAGGCTTTGAAAATTATTTCTTGCAATTTCCACAACTTTTTGCAAGTATTTAATTGCTTCTGTCATCTTTCCTTGGCTAGAATAAATAAAACAGGAAGCTATTGGAGTACCATCTCATTTAATGTCACAGTAAAGAGACGATATTTTGTGTCTCTGCTTTAGACAGTGCAAGATGGTTCAGGATAATGAAATGTAAAATACAAATTTAAAAATCCTGTGGCTTGTCTTTGTTGGAGTATACAGTCAGTTAAAACTTAAACCTTTAAACCTTTCTGTGTTGTTGGTAGGATTGTAAAATGATGCACCTGCTTTGAAAAACAGCTTGGCGGGTCCTCAAAAATTTTAATGTACAACAAAGATCCAGCAATTTTGCTCCTATGTGTATATCCAAGAGAAATAAAAATACATGTCCACGCAAAAACTTGTACACAAATGTTCATAGCAGTATTAGTTATAGTAGCCAAAAAGTGGAAACAACCTAAAATTCTATCATTTGAATGGATACACAAAATGTGGTATATCCAAACAATGGAATATTTTTCTGCCACAGGAAAAATAAAGTATTTTAGGGACACATGCCATAACATGGATCAACCATGAAAACATTTTAATGAAAGAAGCCAGTCACAGAAAACACAGTGTATGATTCCATTTACACAAATTGCCCATAGAACAGGCAAATCCATAGAGACAGAAAGTAGGTTAGTGGTTACCAGAGGCTGGTGAGAAGGGGAATGTAGATAGTGGCTGCTAAGGGGCGTGGGGCTTTTTTAGGAGTGACAACAATGATCTGAATTAGATTGTGGTGATAGTTGTACAACTCTATGAATATACTAAAAACTACTGGATTGTAGACTTTAAAGGGTGAATATGGTATATGAATTATATCTCAATAAAGCTGTCATTAAAAAAAATCTTTGAAAAAACTGAGATTTTCCACACTGCTTTGTAAACACAGCCAGTCCTTTAAGGGGAGGCAATAACAACTGGAGGCATTAGAACACATATGATGAGAACTGAGTATTCAGAAATCCTTCAGCCAGGACTCTAAAGAATGAAAGAGAGAGACAGCTCCAGTTGGAAGGGCCTGGCTTCTGGAAGGCATGGCACAATCATCTGGCAAACTGCAAGCATTTTTGTAGGTGAGAAATGAGATTTCATTGTGATATACCACTGGGATTTTGAAGATTGTTACAGAAACTCAAATTCCCAAAGCTAACTAAAACAACTTTGGTTATCTTTTTTCTTTCATAAAGAATTGAAAAGATTTTGAAGAGCATTTAAAATCACCATTTTGAAGATTTCAGTGAATTATATTAAGAAATCTTTATTATTTGAATTCTGCTCTGATTTTATACATCTGAGTCCCCAAAAGCGCATCAGTTTTTCATGATCTGAATGCCCCTTCAAGGATATATAAAAATCTTAGTTTTATATGAGTAAGAGCTAAACAGAAAGGAGAGAGAAGAGTGGAAAGACTCTAAAAATCTCTCTAAAGGAGATAATTATTTGAAATTTGAAAGCCAATCTAAGGAGATAGGCTGTTTTAGGAGCCAGGTGTAGTAATGTCCTTTGTGAAGGATGCTTGGGGGCCCACTGAGAAAGGCATACTCTCATAAGGGCAAATGAGATTAAGAACCACGATAAAAAATATTTGAGCAACCAAAGAGACAGTAACTTTTGAAAACAGCTATATCCAAGGTATAATATGCTGTGACTGATTTTGTAGAGGTGATTGAAGCCAAAGTCCAGCTCAAGGGACATTTGACTGCTGATTCAGGGACATGCCATGAAGAATTAAAATGCTATGGACAAAAGCAAGAAGTGTTCAAAATAATGGCTCCAAATTAAGTAAGCTGAAGAAATTCAATATCTGCTGAATCTGAATCACTGGATTCTTTTTTTGCCGACTCCTAACACAGAATAGTGAATTTAAGATTATATGAAATTCTATTGTTAAATCCTATCAGAACCATTGAAATTTTTTGTTAATGTGACAACATCCAGAATTTAGAGACTCTATTTTATTTTAAAGCTTATTTATTTTTGAGAGAAAGAGAGTGCATGCATGCACGACCAGGGGAGGGGCATAGAGAAAGGGACACAGGGGACAGAGAATCCCAAGCAGGCTCAGTGCTGTCAGCGCCGTACCTGACGCAGGCCTCAAACTCATGAACCATGAGATCATGACCTGAGCCAAAATCAAGAGTCAGTCAGATTCTTAATGGACTGAGCCACCCAGGTGCCTACAGAATTCAGAGATCTTAAAATAGCAGAACATCTATAATTGCGCTCCTCAGTTAAGTAGAATAGAGGAAAAACGCTTCTCAATGTTTCTGAATCCCTAGAATCTCCCCTTGCTTTCATAGGCCAACAGTTCCCAGCAACCATCTGTGCCATGACTCATTAATTTACAAGATGAAATTCTGAAATGCAGAGGTTGTTTTGAAATCGAGCTGCTCCCTGCATGGGCATTTCTCAGTTAATACCGCAAGAATTTACTTATAGGAGCTCCGGATAGTATGATAACGAATGTGGCATATACAGAAGTTTGGCCACAAGCTTTTAAATTATTGCAATTAAATAAAAATTTAGCAATATTTCATTGATTCTAAAACACACATTTCCCCATGTTTTAACATTTCTGAAATCAGGATGTCCTGCAACAGATAGGCATCTAATAATCATTGTCAGATGGGTAGCAGTCAGGTCATAGTCCGTGCTGCAGAATGGACTACGTTTATATTCCTGGAGATGACCCAATGATTGCAATGCCTCCATCCTTCTGTCAACAACTTTTTTAAGATGATTTCAGAATGGAATCTGAGGACTGGTTGTTTTCTAAAAACCTTTCGAAACTTCTAAAAGTCAAGAAAGTGCTAACTTCAAAATGGGCAAAAGGAATGGTCATGAGTTGGAAAAAGTTACTGGAGAGGATAGTGGAAACTATTTTAAGAAAGGCTAGAGTACCAATGTTCTTGATGACACAAGAGATGATATGTTTGGGAAAAAAACCAGCGACAGTTCTGATTTAAAAGTGATTCAGTCCAAAAATTGGACTTGGAACAGAAAGATGTTTGAGGAGTGTAGTAAATTTGATTTGTTTGTATTTTTCCATGAATGCTTACTATTAATTATGAAAATGTCTGTATGTAAATGAGGCTAAAATAGCTCTTTTATTAAGTATAAAATCAAAATTCCAAGCAATGAGTGGTATTATGTTACAGTTAGAAATTTTTTTGGTAGTATGTAAGATGCATCTTCCAATAGAAACAATCTTATATTCAGTGAAATCTAAAAATAAAGCTACTTCTTCAGTATAATGGACAAGGGTGGTTTATTGGCTAGTAAGTTCTTGTGTAAAATTTTCTAGGAAATTTAGTTTCAAGTTTACAATGTGTTTCTACACTTGTATACACCATGAAATGATCACCACCACAAGTCTAGTTACCATAAAAAAGTTATAAAAATATATACATTTTTTGATGAGCACTTTTATGATCAACTCTTCCCTGGCAACCTTCAATATGCTCAATACCATTGATTATAGTCACCCTTGTGCTCACCACATCCCCATGACTTATTCACTTCACAACGGGAAGTCTGTACCTCCTGACCTCGTTCACCTATTACACTCACTGGAAACCACCAATCTGCTTATATACAGGAGTTTCATTTTGCTTTGTTTTGTTTATTCATTCAGTTTGTTTTTCAGATTCTGCATATAAGTGACAGCATAAGTATTTATCTTTCTTCGCCAGATTTTTTCACTTAGCTTAATACTCTTAAAATCCATCCATGTTGTCACAAATGGCAAGGTTTTGTTCTTTTTTATGATGGAGTAGAATTCCATTGTGTGTATATATTAAGTCTTATTCATTCATCCATTGATGGCCACTTAGGTTGTTTCCATATCTTGGCAACTGTAAAAAATGCTGCAGTGAGCACAGGGGTGAATATACCTTTTCAAGTTAGTGTTTTCATTTACCTCAGATAAATATCTAGAAGTGGAATGGATGGATCATACAGCAGTTCTACTTTCAATTTTTTGAAGAACCTCCATATGGTTTTCCATAGTGGGTGCACCAATTTGTATTCCCACCAAGAGTTCCCCTCTCCATGCCCTTGCCAACATTGGTTTTTTATCTTCTTAATAATAGCCATTCATTCATGGTTGAGGTTCTGATTTGCATTTTTCTGATAATTAGTGATGTTGAGCATCTTTTCATGGGCCTGTTGGCTATATATATGTCCTCTTTGGAAAAATGTCTATTCAGATACCCTGCTCACTTTTCAACTAGATTGTTTTTTTTTTTTTTTTTTAATTTTGAGTTATATGAGTTCTTTATATTTTGGACATTAACCCCTTTTAAGATATATGACTTACAAATATTCTCTCTAATTCAGTAGATTGTCTTTACATTTTGTTGATCATTTCCTTTGTTGTGCAGAAGAAGTTTTTTAGTTTGATGTAGTCACACTTAGTTATCTTTTCTTTCATGCTTTTGGTTTTGGAGTCAGATAAAAAAAAAAAAAGACCATGAGAGACTCTTGAATGCTGAGATCAAACTGAGGACTGATGGATATGGAGGGGGGAGGGGAGAGATGGGCATGGAGGAGGGCACTTGTGGGGATGAGCACTGGGTGTTATATGGAAACCAACTTGACAATAAACTATTTGTGGAAATAAATAACAAAAATTAAAAAAAAGAAAAAGAAAACAACAACAACAAAAAACCCCACCAAGATATATGTCAAAGAGCTTACTGCTTACCTCCTCAGGGTTTTATGATTTCTGGTCTTACATTGTCTTACATTGTCAAAATCCATTTTGAGTTATTTTTTTGTGTATGGTAAAATAGTCTCGTTTCAGTCTTTTGCACATGGTTGCCCAGTTCTCCCAACACCATTTATTAAAGAAACTGTCCTTTCCCCATTGTATTCTTGGCCCCTTGGTGTAAATTAATTGAAAATATGTGTGTGGGTTTATTCCTGGACTCTATTCGGTTCTGTTGATCTATGTGTCTGTTTTTATGTCAATACCACACTGTTTGGATTATTATAGATTTATAATAT